AACCCCCCCGCTTGCCCTCCGATCCCCGCGCCTACTCCGCGAATTTTTGACGCCGTGTGTACATATACATACACATACATCATATTTACATACCACATACATACATCATACATACACTTTTCTGATAAAGCAAGGCAACCAGGAAAAGTTGAGATTTGAGTCATTGACACATAACGTCACAAATCAAATGGAGAGCAGAAATATTATTAGAAGTCAGTTTAAGTTATTAAATGGAAAGCATCCAGTGTAGTATTGTGTCATCTCACAACTGTTTGAGATTTTACTTGTTTTAAGTGGTCAATCCTTTCCTATACATGCTCATATTTACACAATTAAGAGACAATTATATCTAAAATGGTAAGAAACTTGATTCAAATTGTTTTTTCTTTTTGTTTTGTCTCAGAGGCATGCTGTTTCTTGATTGTTTAATTGATTCTTAGTAGCTTTATGCTGACAGAATTTTAGTATGTTGCAGAATTTTCCAGAAACTTGTTTCTTTGTTTTATGATCACATAAATGTCTTAGCTCATAAACTATATTATATGTTTTTTTTTATGAAAATATCTTTACAGTCTGTTGCCGAGTTTTTGAAAGGCCTGCCATCGCATGACGAAAATAACTTTGCAAACTTTCATACTGACAATGGAAATCGAACATGTGTCAAAAGACCATCTGTTTATCTCCCTACAAAGGATTATCCTTCAGAGCAAAGTATATGTTTTATAGTTTATAAAATAACTGTAAGGCTCAAGTATAAAACAAGATTTTTATGCATGATATTCTAATAGATTTGTTTTACTTTTGTAATTTTTATTTGTCCTCACAATCAACTTCTGCGATCAACTTCTTGAGCCTTTCACTTCATCTATTATAGATACATATGTTCTGGTGGTGTGTTATTTTTTTTATTTATAGTTATAGTTACTGAGAAGACTACTATTTTGTTGAGATATCTTCACCAACAATGGGATAAAAAGGTAAAAACCTAAAACACATACAAACTGCTGGACAAAACGATAAGACACGAAGAGAGAAAATAACTGGAATAT